TGACAATGAATTAGTGATCTAGAAAACTTCTACAAAAGAATGAACCAGATGGCATCATTTTGAAGAAAGAATGAGCAAGGCACAGCAGTTTTCTGAGTACATTAAGGGCTACTTTAAAAAGTGGAGTAGTCTGGCCTGTACTTACATGATGAATATAAACCATAAGGAAAACAAAGCCCTGGAATAAACTGCCAAGGAGAATTCAAAATCCACCACCAGAGAACTTGAAAAACACAGCAAAAAAGTCATCAGAAATCTGACCTTAGGACAGAAGGATGGACTACATAACCTTCCAGCCCTGTTTCTCAATTATTCTGCATTTTCTTAAGGAGCACTCAAAATTGGACTGGCAGTACAAGAGTCTGATGTATTTTGGCTGCCACTTTGGTATCTTGCAATATGTTCAACACTCCCACTCCCCAAAAACAATAGAGCACCAAGAAAAAGCATTATTTCATTCGTTGCACTCAAGCTTTCTTTTGTCTTTGCAACCCCAGCTCTATTCTAATACTGTTCTGTAGTGTAAAAAGTTCTGGTCAGAGTTTAAACCCAAAATAATAAAAGAAATCTTTATAGTGACATCTGAAAAACCTATCTGAAGGAAATCAGAACATCTTTGGAGATAGACATCAACTCTGATTGAAACTGTCACCTGTCAGTATTTCTGTAGCAAGTAATTACCACCTGCCATTTTCCCTGCCCTCCAAAAGGTAGTAAGGCCTGCCTCTACACAAAATACATGTCTCACAAAACCAGTGCCTCAAGAACACAGCACATAGCATTGTTCAAGAGGTGAGTTGTGCAGGCACTTGCTGTATTTTTTCTCCCCCACTTGAATGTCATCTTTCACAAGTCTCATCTGGGAATTCAAAAATTGAGTTGTAATGCACTGCAACCTACACGTCTGCTGAATGCAGAGAAACAGAAGAAGCAGCTGTGTCAAAATGGGAAGCGACTACGCTGGTTCCAGTACCACAATACAGTCTACTTTCTGCTTGATTAAAGAAGCAGCAGGAGAAAAAAAAATAATCAGTAAAAGCAGTATAACTTGTGGGATTAAGCCTAATTATTCACCTGATTTTAAGGTTAAGTTTCAAATACTGCTTTGCTACCACTTGAACCAAAGCATGGGGGCAAAGTGCTTTCAAGATCAGCTTCTGGAGTGAATCTTAAACTAAAACTCTCTGCTCTTAGAAAATCTTAGTTAAGAGCAAAGTTCCTAAGCAGTGGAGTTTACCTCGTTCAATGTCATCCATAGGAGAAGATGGAAACATCTTGTCTTTTGGTGGGGAATTTTTAATGTTGTTTGGAGTCTTAGTTGAGTTTCGGATTTGCTGCTGTTGCTGTTCTATACGAGACTGAACCTTACTGCTTCCTTCAGCTCTGTTTAAAAAGAAAAAAATTGTCATTGCTTTAGAAGACAGGACACCAATAGAAGACAGGAATACAGGGGATACTATATCTCAACTTACAGAATTATTTGCCATATCTTCCTAAAAAACATAATTACACTCACAGGTTAATCTTACTAGCATACAATTAGATATGGATGTAATACATATATATATTAAATACACTGCCAATAAGTTTTGAATTCTTTGTTAGTTGATTTGTTATAACATCTGGCTACCAAAGATCACTCACTAATAACTGCTGAAAGTTCTGAAGGTTCAGCAGTACAAAAGAACACAAACTTGGTACAGGAAAAACAAGTCACAGCTACTACTGAAACCAGAACAGAGATATTTTGTCTATTTTCTCATTTAGAAGTCAGAAGACATTATGCAAACTACTTTCCAAAGAGATCTGTCCTCCTCTATATTCATTAGATAGTAGTCACCATCTCTTAACAACATGTCACTTTTCAATTAAAATAAAGCAGAGGAAATACAACTTTTCTGTAATTTCTGCTGGTCAAGACTCAAAAGCTACAAAGCAAAGTTGGCATGTTGAGATCATGGGCTTTTCACTCTATTGAACAAGACCAGAGACTTTCTAAATACAATGTTATGATAAAAATAGTAATGGGCTGAAGCATATCTCAATTTCAAGTCTAACAAATAGATTTTCTTAATGAGTAGAGGACAGCTGTTCATCTTGTAAATTACCCACCTGATTTTCTTCACAGTGATGTTGCTACTAAGTTTTTCTAGGCGACATTCTCCAGTGTCATGATTGATAATTAAGATACATTCCTTTAGGTAAGGCTTCTTCGAGCCCTTGAACACTGTCACTGGTGGAGTGGAGCCCTGGTAAATCAGAAGTGTCCAGTAATTGTTATTATGTAGTACTTTTTCTTCTTAAGAACAGCAAACAATCCATCACAGAGATGACAAATTCATTATAAGTAATCATTTCTAGCTTAGGGAAATGCTATTGGTTATTTCAAATCAGACTCAACCATGACCAAAAGCAGCTGGTGACTGACTAGAAGGGAATTTCATCTTTAGCATTTAATCAGTTTCAAACTTATTTCCAGATCACAACATACTTACTGTAGGACTCCTTTTACCAAAAGGGGTTTCAGTAACCAATAAGCAGAGCAGTAAAGCATGGCAGGTAGTAAATTTTCCCTTTCCAGTCTTTCCTGCTTTAGAACTGTGCTACAGCAGTAAATACCAAGGGGAAACTCGCACTGCCAACATCCACATAAAGCTTTTCAGCGTATGCAACACTTCAGGGTCATCCTACAACTTATTTCCAATTCAGTGAATACACTTAAAGCTACAGCACAGCTGTTTAACCTTTAGGTCATCTGCAATTTTACACATTAGAGCAATTGGTTTTAAACTTTAAAAATTACACAAGCAGCTCTGAAACAGCATTAAAACTTTGTATACTTCTATATTCAACATATTCTTACGACCATATACAATAAACAATAAGATTCAATACAATAAACTATAACAGATAATTATGGGGTGACCAAGGCCAGGCTGGTTGGGGCACCAGGCAGTCTAATCTAGTGGTTGGTGGCCTATCCACGGCAGGTAGGTGGAACTGGAGAGACTTTAAGTCCCTTCCAACCCAAAACATTTTGTGATTCTACAACAGCAAAATATACCACCCCATATGTCTGCCACTCTTCAGCCATCCCCCTCACCTCAATATTCGGCAGCGTTATCGTCACCTGTTCACCTTTGCCAACTTCAAGGTCTCCTTCACAACCAGTATCAATAGATGCAGGCTTAAAGTCATCTAAAAATAAGATGAAACTGTATTATTTGTGGGCTTTTCAGGAGCCTTCTAATCCTAGACATGCTCCGAATATCACTTCAGCTAGAGACTATTATGCTATGACCTTTTTTGCTGGCGTATCACCTGCCATTCCCCCAGTCAGATCAGTAAATCAGCAGAATTCAAAGTCAAGCCTGTTTTCTCCATATTCAGCTTAAACGTTAACACCTTTCAGATAAAATTTAGGAAGCACTGTTAGGTGCTATAGGATAGGACACTGGATGTGTTGGACTTCAAAAGAAAAAAAACTTCAATTAAATACTTTCAGAAAGGCAATAAGTAGCTTTTGAAAGCCCCTGGGAGGTGATTGTCCCTCTCTGCTCAGCTCTCACCAGGCCCCACCTGGAGCCGGCGTTCAGCTCTGAGGCCCCCAGCACAAGAAGGGCACGGACCTGTTGGAGCACGTCTGGGGGGCTGTGAGATGTTAGGGGGAAATTCTTTGTGCTGCAGCACGTGTGGGTTCGAGTCCTGGGCCCCACACACAGCGTGCTGCTGGGGAGCGAGCTACAGGAACCTGAGAAGAGCTCCATGCTCGCAGCTCAGGGCTGCAGAATCCCCTCAGAGCTGGCAGAGACGAGCAAAGCAGAGTTCCAGAGCTTCTCAACAGAACCCGGGGTGATATTTGCTTTAAGCTACAGTCATTGGGCAGTTCAAACCGGGATAGACTTCAGCGCCCACAAGCTGACTTCTGAACTTCAGTGGCAGCCGGCAGCTCGCTCCCTTTTAGTCATTTGTTAACAAGCTCCTCAAGTGTCAGAGGATCTCTGCGCGCAGCAGCGATGAGCGCGCCAGTTCCTATGGCTCATCCGTTGGAAAGGAAAGGAGATTTCAAAACAGATTTGAGAACAAATCATCAAATTACCGCAGCCAGCGAAAAGCGGGAATGGTGGGAAGCAGGCGGCGCGGCTTCAGAAGGGCTCATTTCAGGGCAGCGCAGTTACCCGGCGCCGCGCTCCCCCCCCCGGCGCGCGGCCCCGCGGGGAACGCGTGAGCGAACGGGGCAGCGCTCGGAGCCGCCAGCCCGCCTCGCATCTTCCCCAGGGCAGGGCGGCCGTCTCCGAGCTACCGCGAGCTCACGGCTCTCCGGGCAGCGGCTGCGCTCCCAGGGAGGGGACGCGATGAACGCCGCCCGTAACCTTTGATGCCGAATTGCGCTCGGCTCCTGAGAGCGAAGCGCGAGAGGGCAGAGCTCGAGCCCTGCGCGCAGGGACCGCCCGGCTGCAGGCAGAGCCGCCCGGGCCGGGCCCTTCCCCCCCACCTCCAAGCCGGGGACGGAGGCGCCGCGGGCCGCGCGAGCTCCTCCGGGTCCGGCCCCTCGCCAAGCCGCGGCGCGGAGCCCGGCACCTGCCGCCCCCCTGTACGCCCCCCAGCTCACAGCGCACGGTATGGAAGGCGCAGCGCGGCTGCTTCTCGAAGGTCTCGCCCAGCTGCAGCACCCGCTCCTTGGGCTCGAAGAGCGGCGGGGCCATCCCGTTCATGGCGGCGCGCACCGCACACCTCACACCATGACCCGCCCGGGCGGCCCCCGCCGCTACCGCCGCCACCGCACATCCCTCACGCCGCGGGGGCGGGGCCGTGCCGGACACGCCCGCTCGACCCCTCCGCCTCTTGCCACGCCCCCTTCGATCCAGGCCACGCCCCCGCACCGCCCTCGCGGCCCCGCCCCTCTCGCCGTGCGTCACCGAGCGGCGCAAGCGCGGATTGGGCGCCGCGACGCGCCTCCGGGAGGCCGCGCCGCTGGGGGGGCGGGGGGGACGTTGAAGGCGCCGCCGGCACGCGGATATGCAAATGACCCCCTCCTCCTTCAGGGCGGCGCTCTGGTTGGTGGAGAGCGGGCGCGAGCGCACGGCGGGAGGGGTTGGCGGGTCGGGGGGTCGGGCTCGGCTCAGTCAGCCTTCGCTCCCCGCGGGTCCCGCCCCGCCCGCCCCCGGGGCCGAGGGGATGCTGGAGCTGCCGAGATCTCTGGCCGAAGCCGCGGGCCTCGGGAGGCGGCGCGAGGGCTTCGTTCGTGTTTGTTTCCGTCCTGGGGGCGGGGCGCGGGCTTCCAGCTGACGGCGCGGGAGCCGGGCCCCGAGCAGCGCCGTGCGGTGCCGCGGGTCTCCCCGCGCTCCCCCATGGCCGCGGACCCCCGGGTGCTGGCCCTGGCCGCGCGGGTCGCTGAGGGCAGCGAGCGGGACGCGCCGGGGCTGCTGCTGAAGTTAAAGGGTAAATCTGTTCCGCTCGTACAGTAAAAGGAGACGAGCGGCGAGGCGTGGGCCGCCTCCTTAGGTTCGGAAGGTTGGTTGGAACGGCGGTGGCAGGGCTGAGGAGCGATAACGTGGCTGTTCTGACAGCGTTCGGCCTGCGGAGGTGAAGGGAGGAAGTGGGAAGAGGCAGCTCCCCGCCGGCACGCCGTGTGTTCGGGCTGCGTTGCTCCCACCCTCGTTTGTCCCTCATCCGGCGAGGCTGTGGCTGCCAGTAGATCTGTAAGCCCGGAGCTCGGGCACAGCTCGGTGAGGCTCCGCTCCCGGCCTTGCCGCAGTGCCTTTGCCACAGCCACTCCTCGTGGGAATGGCACGAACAAGCCGGGCCCTGTTCTAAATCGGGATGTAATTATAAGGGAGCCGTGCGTCTGGCAGCGCCTGTGGCTTTCTGTGGCCTAGGACATTCCTACAAGTGGGCTACGTCCCACGTAGCATTTGTTTCACGTCCGAGTGTACAGTGAGAAAATGGAAAGCTACATTCAGCTGTCCTCCCAGGCATCGTCCAGCGAGCAGATTGTGGCTGTGAGCGTGGAAAGTGCTGAGAAAATATTTGGTTGTTCTTAGGATTTTTAGAATTACCTTAAGCTCTACGTATATGTGTTCCTCTTACATTTGGAGAACAAACAAACGGCAACAAAAAAATACTATCCAAATTGAACAGCAGAACCTTATGCTTCCCTTTGCTTCCCTTCTTCCTATGCTTCCCCTCCCTCCTACTTTCTTTCCACAGAAATTTTAAGCAGTGCTTCCTTGGGGCATCAGGAGTCCAAGAAAATTAAGCAAGACATATACTTCTATGATCTGATTCACTACTGCATGCTGGTCCTTAGACAAGATTGCTCTCGGCTGCATGGAGGCTGGGCTACTGCTGCCCAGCTTGCAGAGATAATAAGGTAAAAAAAAAAAAAAAAAAGTGCTAAGAAGTTTTCATCTTGTTTTCTTTGTGGCTTTTCATCTTGCTCTCTTTCTTTTGAAGCTATAATACGTTGGCTGCCATCCAGAACAAGGCTTGTTGTTCAGGAAAGGCCAGGGTTAAAGTGCAGGGAGCAGTCAAGAGCAGAGGGACCAGGCATAGCCTAATTGGCCCTGTTTAATTCATTCTCATTGTGTTTCATTGAACGGGTGAACTGTTTGGTGGGAACAGTTTTTGCATTGGGTTTACCTTTTTTTGTGACAGTACTTGTCTGTGTCACAGTTTTTACCAAGTAATTACTAATTCTTATTGCAGTTATTAAAAAAAAAAAAAAAGTCTATTTAGCTGTCTTTTACAAAAATTTCAGCTTTATTGACTCTCAGCTTGACTTGGCTCCATTTAAATGTCTATTTACATTTTAAATGTAACAGAGGACGTTATTCTTACCAACTAGATAGCTTGATGTACTGATGTTGTGAGAATGGCATAATGAAGTCTAATTCCTAGCTAGTAAATAAGCCAACTTAAAACTCAAATCCCAATGATCCAATCTCAATTTTTGATGCCAGGAAAAATAATGAGTTATAAATATTCCCCAAGTTGTACTTGATTTTGGTTTAACTAGGGAACGAAATGCTAAAGCATGAAGCAATTAGGCAGCCATTTCTTATTTATGTCATATCTGCAAAATGAATTTTTAATGCAGAGAATTTCTGTAAGAGATGCAAGATTTATCACCAGGACTGCGTGATGTTTAAATCAACTCTTATAAGCTATTTTGGTTTGCAGAGACAACTGAGATTTATTTTAGCTGTAAAAATGTCCTTTTGCAACTGGATGAATCTGGGCTTCATGCTTAGAATGTGCTTTCACAGGGCTTAGGTAAGCAAAGCTGTACGTGTGTGTGTTCGCAGAAAGCTAACAAAGATTAGATAAGATGTCAGGAAGCAAAATTCATAAGAAGTTAGAAAGGCATTTTTGTTGCACTCGGACTGATGTGGGATACAGTGGGTTCTAAAAATTGTAGTTCCTTGTAAATAACCTTTCAGAAATGACCCGTGTGTTTGTGGTGAGTGAAGTCAGAAAACTGAGATCTGAAGAACTGATCTCGCATGTGTTCCTCAATTAGAGGAAAGCTGTAGGCAGATTCACAGAATTTTCTGTGGTAAAGTAATAGCTGTGTGGTGTATCTTTTGTCATATGATCTGCACCACCTTCGTCATACTTTCTTTTCCCTTATCAAGTCTCTGTTTACCTTTGCTTCTTTTCCTTATGACCATCAGGGCCTGTCCCTAACATATGGAACAAGTCTGAACAGAACCCATGAAAATAAAGGCAAAAGTGCCTTGGATATGTTTTAAACTGAGACGTGCTATGAGAAGTGGTATTATACTCGGTGTCTCCAGCCTGCCAGTGATTACTGTTCCTTCTGAGGCAGCTATCTTGGAGCTAGTCACAGCAGCTAACTGTTGTTCAGTGTTGGATTGTCCCATTCCAGTGAAGCATTTCTTCTCTGATGACATGACATTCATTCAAAACTGTTCAAACAGGCCCTTGACAATTCAGGTTGATTTTTTTCCCCCCCATTTCAGTCATTGTTGTGTAGGACTGGAGGTGAAAGAAGATCCTGAGGAATTTCACAAGAAATTTCTTCCTTCAGCTATAGACAACCTGCTGTTCTTGGGAAGACGCCTGCAAGCGCGATTTATCCGAGCTGTCAAGGTATTTAAATTTCATAATCAAAAGAGCAGAGAATCTCTGTAACGTTTCTGTACCTATGTACTGCATAAGTAGGATGTTATTTTAGATATGCTGTAGTATGAAAAATTCTTTTCCAGAAATTAAAATAATTTTTCTTTACATAGCCTTGAAACTAAAATCTGTTATTGTGGAGCATCCGTTACATCCATTACATGGGCCTAAACAAATTTGTTACCATAGATTTAGAATTTGGTTACTACTTTTCAGAAATTTTAGAGGAGTTAATGGAGGATGTAATTATTTATAAGACAGAAGAATTAGAGCAGTAAGATAGGGAAAAAAAAAAAAAAAAAGCCTTAAAAAACAGCATCCCAGTCATAGCAGTGTCTATTTAACTTGGCGTGTCATTAGTTCAGTCTTTGTAACTGCTTTATTCTCAGTGCTTCATTCAGCTTTACAATAAAAGAAAGTGTGGTTTAGGAAGACTTAAGACTTTAGGTCAGATAGGTCAAAGTTTGTTTTGCCATAGAACTTCTAAAGTGAAAATGGCAAAAAATTCCCCAAATGCCTGCTGCTTCTGAACCAGCATGTTGGGAACCCTAAAGGCAGGCTTTGTGTTTTAGCAGATGAGAACACTTTCTTACATTGCTCTCCTTTGGAGAGAGGAAGGGTTTTATCCAGTTATGCTTTTGAAGCATTCTGAGTGCCAGAACCAACAAAAAAGTTTAATAATGATAATTTAAATAACCAAGCCAGTGGATTCTGATAGTTTCATTTATTATTTCTGTTTCTCCTTTGTATCCCATTTCTTGTCTCACAAGACTCATTGTCTTGTCTCACTCACTTGTCTCACTTGTATCACATTCTTGTCTCTCACTTCTTGGACTTAGGCAAAGTTTTCCCTACAGTGTCTTGTTCTGGACAGTACATACGTGATCACTTCTCAGAAAGTAGAGTGACGTATTTTCTGTTTGTTCAGTACTTTAGAAGTGCATTTAATGCTTAGGAAGCTTCCTGAATGACATCCCAGGAGACTCCAGTCTTATCTGCAATATGTAATTTCCCCTACTCTTTCTTATTATGTCTCAGCCTGCATGCTACTTGAGTCATGCTTGTGGGCAAAGATTACTTCTAAATTCAAATGCAGTCTGTATTATAGTTACTATGTCGGCTTTCAAATCTTGTGGTCTCGGAGGTCACCGGGCACCCAAATTTGATGCTTGCTCACTGGAACTTCAAAAATCCCTCTTTGCTGGTATTATTCTGCCCTCGCTCGCCTTCTGTACAAGACTTCGAAGTAAAGGGAAGTACTAAAATAGCTTTCAGAAACTGATGCCTCGCCAAACACACCAAAGATAGTATTATGCCTTAACTTCTTCCTGCTATTTTGTATCTCTTGTTCACTCAGTACCAAATACACAGTTAAACTGTGACTAATGGCTGGGACTTACTGTACAGATCTAGGAAGCAACTTCCCGGAGTTTCACTGGTGGAGGCTCAAAAATGTGGGAGATATCAGGCTGAGTGCTTTATAATAACGTTTGTCACCAAATCACTTTGCTATCCACTCACTGAGAATTTTGATTTCCAGTGGCTGTGAATCGTACCTGGAATACAAACTCCAAACTGTGTGTGTGCTTCCATTAAAACTTAGATTCTTCCTGGCTATTGTGTCCAGTGCAGTGTTATCACAAGCAAGCGTGTCTATATTCTGTTTGGGTAAACTGATTGAACTTCAGCTCCAACAGTGGTTTGGTATTTGCTGCCAGACCTCCAACAAGGAGTACTTCTGAAGCCTCACCATGACAGTTCACAGCAACCTTGTGGATTGTTAATTATATCTTTGGCTGCTTTGTGCTCATTGTTTCTGTGCTGTAATCTTAAATAATGTATTTACTACTTTGTGAATCAAATCTGTGATTCATTTGTATTAACCTGTCATTTATCTTCTTAGCCCTCCCATACTAACATATACTTCTAAGAATTCAACAAGCCTTTTCTCTCTCTATTACAAAGGTTCCAGGATTGGATGCTTTATTCAAGTGTGTTTAGACTTTGTTGATTGATCTCTGGCCTTTTTTTTGTGTGTGTGTGTGCCTGGTTCCTGTGGTTTGATCAACCTAATTTGTGCAGCTGGTAGAGCTGGTTTCCAAATGGCTGAAGTATACAAGACTTCCTGCCATATTGTGATGTAGTAGAAAGATACACACATGGGGTTTTTTTTACTTCTCTCTTGTTTAGGATGAAGAAAAACAAGATTTTTTACGCTATTTCCAAACAGTAACTGATGCCATCTGCTGGCTGTTTGGTGGACATATTCAACTAACAGAGTGTGGTAAGGGAAAATTAATTCATAAAATACTTGGGTATTTGTTCAGATGAAATAGATAGCAGTAGACAGTCGTAAGCCAATTCCCACCTAGTCTTCTAATTTGTGGTAGATCTTAAGGCAGTCTATTAAAGTATTCCTTTCAACAGGAACAGCAGCATTGATGTGGTAAAAGATCTACTAAAGGAGAATATTGAAATTGTATTTCTAGTCTGTTAGAAACAAACAGTAAAAGTGTTTTCCTGAAATTTCCCTTTGTAATCTTGAACCTTTAAAAAAGCAGATATTTTTTAGTGAAAAGGTACTTCAGAACTTCTTACTTGTCTTTGATTAATATATGCAGAAATTTGACTGAAGTACATTCCAAGACCTAAAATGGGGAATGAACTGAAAATGGGTTATTCAGTTTGTTACCATGGTATCTATGCTGTCTCTCATGCTACTTGTTGCCAAGTATCTAGCAAACTTTACTAGCACTTTTGACCAAAATAAAGTTTGAATTAAACCAGTGTCGAGCACATGGATATTTAGTTCATGATGAAAAGCAGAATTTGGTTTTGTCTCTAACAGAAAATAATAAATTAAAGATAATAAAATACATAGCTAAAAACATAAACGGACAGAAAAGTTTCTACATATATAGACTGGAACTGGAATAAAAAGAAAAGATGGTGCTTCAGTGACATCAGTGAACTTGCATTAAATGAAGCTGGTTTAACAAACTGTTAAGGTTGAAGTGCTTATCTTCTCTGGATATTGGTGCCCCAGTGATAAAATTCCACTGGTGTAATGAGAAACTGGTGCTAGTGTAACATAAGAGGTTTTAAAGCTTTTGTTATATCTCAGTGCCAGTGCCTAAGGGATATCTTATGGCAGAAAAACAGAGCCCAGCATGTTTTTTTCCCCTTTTATGTTGAAATAGTTTACTTATTCCAGTAAGCTTCAGTGTAAAAATTATAAAAGATGATGTTTGTTCCAGAGATTGTCTGTTTTTGCTGTGGCTCACGTTTCATGATTAAGCTAATTTGTTTTATAGTATTTTAAAGCCCGTGATTCTGACTATGTGATTTCTTGTCTGTTTGTTTTTCTTGCAGTGCTGCAAAATGATCACTTCCTGAAGTTGCTAATATCAGACAGCGTTGAAACAGCAGTTACAATGATGTCTGTTTTACACAGTATTTTGGGGGTCAATAGGTTAGTTGTTCTTATGTCACTGATTTTCCTGAATCTTAAATTTCAAATTCAGTTCATTACTGCTTTGTCAAATAGAACTGTTAATATATGAGAGCTGTGGTGTGTTTTTTTTTTTTCCTATTCTTTGCTGTAGAAATAGAAATATCCGATATTTTGTTTATCCTGTTGCTAAAATGAGGGAATGGGAATGGGTTGAAATAGCAGTACTGCCTCTGCCACTGAGTCCATGGCAGTGAGGAATGAGTTAGCAATACTTGGTTTCTCAGTTGAACTGGAATAAACGTGGGAGTATCAGCTCATCACAGGAAAAAAAGCAACATAAAGCAAAAATGACTCTTCAGTTCCATTTCCTTACACCCTGGATCAGATTGCTGCTCCAGTTAGTTGAGTATGTTGGCTTGCTGAATACCTGAGAACATCTATAGTAAGAATTCACTATTAAAAAGCTAATAGTTTGTGACTAACTCTTCATTTCTCCTCCCCTCCCCCCCCTTTTTTTTATATATGAAGTTCTGTCTTGCTTCGGGTTGACGAAGAGATCCTGCATTCCATATTGGATGAACTTGTTTATAAGCTTTCATCTTCCACCAACCCTGTCATAGGAAACTCTGCTACAAAATTGCTATTGCTGATGGCAAAATTTTGCAAGCAGCTCCTGAAGTTACTGGCAACTCGCTACAAAGGTTTGTGATTGTGTGCAATCAGTCACTTGGCCTCCCTGCATCTGCCATAAAAATACAAAGGTGGAGGTTAACCAGAGCCATCTTGGTTCAGTAATGACTACCTTACAATGCTGTGCTGATAAGACATTGGAAATACATTGCTAATTGAACTACCAATTACATAGGTGCAACAATCACTTGCCCATACAAAACTATAATATCTAATAATAATGATTTCAGCACCAGATATTCAGAGATAATATGTAAACTCAAAGATGACTGACCTTGTTCAGCTTCAGTCTAGTCTTCTTTGCACGTAGAGTCAGATTTGATTTTTCTATTTGAAAATCGTTCGAAATCGTGGAAAGAAAAATTTGCCTTTGCAGAATTGCATGGTTCTTCTCTCTTTCATAGGATTAAATGTGCTTTTAAGTAAACAGTGGACTGGCAAAGGATTTGACAGGGATCTCAGTCAACTTCTGGACTTGCTATACTTGGAACAACCCAATGGAAAAGAGGAAATGCAGGTGCTGAATTTTAATGAGACTTTCTAATATGAATTTGTAGTTACTTGTGATTTATATATACACAGCCTGAATTTACTATATCACTTTGTCTGAGCTTTTCAAAGCCTGTGCTGTTTTTTTCACTGTATCAGTGGATTTTTTTTTAATTTCCAATTCACTTTATTTTTTTCTTTTTCTCTTTCATTGTTAAGATCTCAAGGAATTCCAGTTATTGAGGAATGGAAATTGAGAACGGCTTGAGAAACTGACTTTGCATAGTCACAATGCAGTGGGACGTTTTATACAATCATAGGGGAAAAGATAATTTTTGTTAACTGTAAAACAAAAATAATTGTATCTGCTTGTTTTGCATCAGTGTTATAAATGTCGATTTCTGAATTCTTGGAAGCATTCAGATAGAATTAAGAGTCGTATAGCGAAAGTGTTCAGTGAGAACATTGTCTGGGCTGTGCTTCCAATAAAAAGAGCAAATGTGTGTTTTATGAGCCTTAACAAAATATATGCAGGGTTTTCAGAGAGAGTAGTTCAAAGGAAATCAGAGTTGTGTTTGCAGAGTTCTGCTTTCACCTTAAACACAGCAGGTTGTTTTGGGTGTTTTTCTCTCCCTGGAAAAAACACCATTTGAGAATATAATTTTTTTTATATGAATAAAGTGCAAATATGAATTTGTTGTTCTCTCTGATCATAGTGGAAATGTAAATATTCCCTACAGTTAGTTCTCCAGACTCGTCTTTCCATTCTCTCTAGTGGAGATATTTTGACCTAATTGACACGTGAAATATCAAGTGCTTCAGATACTTTCAATTTTAAAATTTCTAATATCAGTTGTGTGGCTAATATGTATCTGTGCTGTAGATTCATTTGTTTACCAAAGAGAGCATTGATCCAGATGATCAGGTTAGCTGCCTTTGGAGTAAATACAAGTTTTGTGATAATAATTGTCTAAGACCTTAGCTGCCCCCCACTGTTATAAACACTGTGCACTTCAGTGCATTGGAAAACTGATAAGGTTTGACCAGATGCTGAGATCGTTCCAAATATGCAAACAGTAATAACGTGTTTTTATATGCAAAGCAAATATTCTGCTAACTATTTTATACATTTCAGAGGCAGCACCAGGCAGCTTGTGTAATTCAGGCAACGTGGAAGGGATTTCAGACAAGAAAAAGACTGAAAAAACTGCCCCAAGCAGTGATAGCTTTGCAGAGAAGCTTCAGGTAAATAGCATCGCTTTGTAAAAAGTGCTAGAAAATAGTGTGATGGGACTTGTTTCTGTTTAGTTTGGTGTTTCTCACATCACAGAATCTCAAGAAAAAAATTTGGGTCATATCAAGCAATTCCCTGCTAAATGCAGGGCCAACCTTAAAACAAGATATCTGGCTGCTCAGGGCTGTATGCAGCTGTGGAGGTCTGTAAGGATGCAGACCCACCATCTCACTCAGTCCCTGTCTTGGTGCTGCGTGTTTCATGTTCCATTAGAATTCTTCCATTAGATTTAGCAGGAATGTTCCTTGTTGTAGCTCTTTTCCACTAACTCTTGTCCCTTTTCAGTGCACCTGTAAGAATGTGGCTCTATCTTCTCTACACAAAGCAAAAGACAAATTAGATTCCCTGAACTTATACTATATGCTCTGTACCATTATCTCTCCAGTCAGTCAATGTCTGCCTTCTGCTGGGTGATCCAGTAAAGTATGGGCATATTGCAGGTGTGCCCTCCAGAGTGCTTGAGTAAAGCTGTTTGAATAATTTTCTTTGACCTGTTGTCTCTGCTTTTGCAAGTGTAGCACGCTATGCAGCTAGTGTTTGTTACTGCAGTGGCACACTGCTGGCTCGTGTTCAGTTTGTAAGCCACCACAATCCCCAGGTTCTTTTCAGTGGAGCTCCTGTCCAGGTAATCAGGGCCCAACCTGTATGATTCATGAGGTTATTTAGTCCCAAGTATAGAACTTCCCATTTGAATTTAATGTGGTTTCTACTGACCCATTTTCTGTGTCTGTGGAGTTTCCTTTGAGTGCCAGCCCTGCCCTGTAGTGCATGGGAGACTGATGATAGCCTTGCTAAAGTCCAGGTAAATGACACCCGGTGCTCTCTCCTCATCCACAGTCATCACGGAAGGCCATCAGGCTGGTCACACGTGATTTGTCTGTGATAAACCTTACATGGCTGTTCCCATTTGCTTCCTGTCCTTCCTGTGCTTGGAAATGTGGAGCTTTCCCGAGGATTTGTTCCCGTGTCCCAGGGAATTTTCCTGGGTTGACCCAGGGGTTCTCCATCTGAAAGATGTCTTTTCCCGTCAGCTGTATTTTCTCAAAAATAGAAGTAATGTAATGCCAATATGAGCTATTTCACTGCAGACTCTTTTAGCAAAAACATCCAAACAATGTGCTTTTCCAGCAGTACCAAATTGCCACTTCTGGTGCCAAAAGCTCCAACTGTCCCTTTCCCAGCTGCCAAAATTCTTCTCCACGAAAAGAAGCCCTTAGTTCTGTGATGCCTCTGTGTAAAAATGTATAGCATATGGAAAACTGAAAGTGTGGGACTCTAGCATTGGATTGCACTAAACAGCATTAGAGGATGATGTACTGGTGGCAGAACAGTTAACTGCTTCACAGTTAACTCTTTGAAAATTCCACCATAAAGTAAATGTGTCCTGAAGTCCTGATAGGATCAGGTGTAGCAGGATAAAGCAGAAAGGAGAGGTTGGCCAGGCTGGAGGCAATCAGCCAGCTGCCTGTCTTGTGTCATGTTCTCAGTATTGCAAGCATTAGCACATGCATCTTAAACAAGCAGTTCTTGAATCATTTAAGTTGACTTTTAAATGTGCTTTTTTAACACTGAAAAGAATAAAAATGTATTAATATTTTTTGTCATATGGTCATGGCCCAGTCAGTCCCAGTGTACTAAGTACAATACAGTTACTATACAGCTCCAGTGGTTGTTTTTTTCTGTCTAGGTCAAAGCTGCACTTAGAGTTGTGCCAAAAAATCAAAATAAGCTTTGGAATATTGTGAGCATTATTTTAGAAAAGCTTTCAAGTGGCCTTTTGAATTTCTAACAGTCAGGGTTTGGTTATATTCATGGATTTATTTTAGAACAAGCATGGTTCCATACTATCAAGGCTGAAACTCTAAATCTGGCTCACTTGAAGCTGCAGTGGAAGATCTTAAACTCTACAAGTTACAGACTTCTGAAACTCTGTGGTTTCACAAATGTCCCCTCAGTGATATTAAAGCTTGCAGTCTTTCCATGAAGTTAGTTCACTTTTATGTAACTAATTGTAGAATTGTTAAAATGGCAGTAATTTGTATTAATCATGTATCACGTGTGTGTGTGAATGTAGATGTACATGTAGGCGATCAGAGGGAGGTTAATCCATGCAATGAACTGCTGAAGAAAGCTTGTGTGTGTTGTACTTCTGTTCAGACATATTTCCCTGTTAGTGCAGTTTTGAACAAACAAATGTGGCTTATTATTGGGAGAAATGGAGAATGAAGAAGAATGTATAGTTTTACAGGCTACTGAAGAAGTAAACACTTACAAACTTGACTAATAATACTGTCAGCTTCACAGATGCATATCTGAGAAGTTCATAAAACATTCTTGTTGTTTTCCACTTAGTGGAGCTCATAAAAGTTCCTAGGGAAAAGTGCTGATAGTTTTACTTGGGAAATGTCATCAAAAGTCTTGTTTCACCCTGTGACATCATTCAGCTTAGGAATATAGCATGTGCCTTCTTGGATTAAAAATGCAAAAGTTTAGAGCTCTCATTTACAGAAATATGTGGGCTGAAAACCTTGAGCCCATTCTGATGTTATTGTATACATCGTGATTTGTGTCTGTAGGTGGATGTGTGGGCACACTTAGAGTCTGCATTACTGTCATAAGAGGATTATGGTCTCTTAGATCATGGTGTTTATCAGTTGGAGCCAGATCTTTAAATCCAGATCATAATAGCTTCCATCCTCTCTTTCCTCACGAAGTTACAGAGACTGAGGAGAAACTATAGTTGGTGGAAAAATTACCATTAATTTTATACTAGCGATAAGGAAGCGTGCTGTGATTTCGATGGTACTGTGAGTCTAAAGGTATGCGACATGCAGTGATACTAAAATTGCTGGGCACTGGTACTAGCCTGCTGCTTTTTTCTCCCCTCCTCCTCACCCTTTATGCTTATACTCTATTTGTGCCCTTTTCCCCGTGTCTCTTTCACTGTCCCTAGTAAAGTGCTAGAGGAGAGCAGAACTCCCAGCTGTGGGTCCAGCAGGGGCACTCAGGCCCTAAGCAGGCTAGTGATGTCACTGCAATGGGAAAGGGAGTTGCATCATTACCTCATCATGGGGGGAACTCAGTCTTGAGTACTGAACTGCTAATGAGGTTGTCAGGTCCACTGGGACAAGAAAGGGGAGAGAGGGGGAGCCCTAGCTCACAGCTCCTCAGCCTCACTGAGACCGTGTCCAAGTGGACTCAATAATTATTGGTATAGATATGTGAGTGTATTTAGCATGAATATATTAGTCTGCATATTATTACCTTAAACACTTAGGAGCCAGTCACAGAGTTTTTGCTTATCTGATTCGTGAAACATTTACTGGGGCGTTTCCAATGCCAAGCACAGCGGGGCAACAGCCTAACATCAAATTACAACAGCCAGTACAGATGAAGAATTTGCAAGATGAACCTTAACAACCAACATTCTGATCTACTTTAGCAGCTTGTACAAAAAAATAGTACATAGAATGGAAAGCAGGTGCTATGCATATGGATGGATGCACTGGAAAAGGTATTTACTGTATCAGTTGCCTAGTGTTGCTTTACCTTTTCCACAGGTGATGGAAGCAAAACAGCTTAGTTCACTTTAGTTGTAAATGTCTCATGTGAAGCATTACTCTCTTTAGTGTGCTTACAACTATAACCTAAGTAAAAATATATTTTTTTATTTGATAACAAATAGAACTTCTGGCTCACATTTTTCCTGCTCACAGGTAGTGTGGTAATTTGTTAGTTTGCAGGTGACATCTTGTTGCTTGGTGTAGTCCTGCAGCCAGCAGCTGGCTTGGTAGCAGCTGGGTCATTCAATATAGACAGAGATTCTTTTAAGAAATGTACAACTTTAGTTAATTGTTAATGTATTTGTGTATTGTAGAGCTAAACGAGAACAGGAGCTTCAGCTTTCAAAAAAACAGAAGGAAGATGAGGCCTTAAAACTGCAAATGCAGCTCCAGAGACAGAGGGCCATGAGACTCTTCCATGAAAGACAGCTGGCCTTAATGGAAATAATCCATCCCAGTATGTGTTACATCAAAGTGTTTCAGAAGATTAAACTGTCTGGGTCTCTTTAAGAACATTTTCCTCAAATGTATTTCCTAATCTTGCATGTCTGTTTGCACTGTAGCCTTACTGTCTCTTTTCCTGACCTGATTACTTGACCAAGAATGTACTAGTTCTTCAAGGGCTCAGTAACTACTGACTGAGAAAGGCTGCCTTCAGAATGGTACAGGAGAAAAAGAGGCCCTCTACATAAAGCTCCATGGCACCTACAGGCCTTCTCTGAGAAGTGGCCGGCAGCTAATGGGCTTTTGAGGACGGGTATTTCACTGATAGCACCCAAGCTTTTTGATATCATCTAGTTTTTAAGGATTAAAGGTGTAAATTGTTGGTAGATCTCAACTCACTGTCTTATAACTGGATTTTTCTCACATTGGTAGGTCAGATAAATAAGCACATGCAGGAAATGGAGGTGAAATCTGCATTAACTATCCAGAGATTTTGGCGAGGGTATAGAGCAAGAAAAAATTTTCATCAACAGAAACAGTGTCTTAAGGAGTATAAAGCAGCTGTCATCATTCAGAGAGCAGTAAGTGTATAAACTTTGTTCTAAAATTAGATAGGACTGAGTGCAGTATTTTGATGCCTTCCAAAAAGATTTGTTCACTTTTCTTAATGTTGATATAGCTATAAGTTATTCAAAAGACATGCAGAGGGTGGTAATCTATAGTGACAAGTTGGCTAGAGAGGTTGAACCTTGCATGAGATAGGAAGTGTGATACGATCTTCAAACTAAAATATGAGCTACCACTTTGAAACCAAAAGCTGGAACTTCACTATGCCAGTGTTCTAACATTATTTAGTATTCATGCTGACCTTTTTATGTTGCCTTTTTGGTACAGCTGAAGTTATGTTTTAAGGAGTGCAGCGCCAAGACATTTTTCTGTCACTGACTTATTGCGAAGTGAGACAAACTCTCTGTCTATAATTTTCATATTCTCGTGTTTTTTTCAAAGGCTTGTAAGTTCTTGGAAAAACAAAGAAGAAAGAAAACTCTTTCTTCCTGGAAAGATCCCAAAGGGCTGACTGATGAGCAGAGAGTAGCTTTACAGCAGAAGGTGGATGACTACATCAAATTGCATCCGGTCTGTTTTAGTCATTTTATAATTCTCATTAATGATGCAACAAAAAATACTGTAGGGATGAGGTATACTCATAAATTCTGATCAAGATAATCCATGTGAGGTATGCCTATATCAACCCTGCTTGTTTGAGAGCAAGGTGCTTAAATATTGGGGATTTAAACTATTAATTGAATAAAAAAAGGTCAAAACAAACTGTAATTGGAAAATTACATATACTTGGTAGATAGGTTTGGAGAGAGCTCCAAAGGAAGCAAGATGATTAAGTTAACAATTAAGAACAGCATTTGTATTCCTTGTTTGGACATTAATCTGCCCCCAGCGGATTAATGGATCTTCATGGTAACAAACTTTTATTTTCCTCCAGGCTTCCCAAATGTCAGAAGAAATGAGTAAAGAATTACATATGCAGGCCCAGGAAAAGCTGGCACAGTTCCTGCTGAGAAGCAGGCTGGATCAGAGAGCAGCACAGCGGAGAGAGACGTTACTGGCTCAGGTCAACACTGATGTGGAGCTGCTAATGAGTACGTGACTGCTCTGGTCATAGTTTTAATTAGCATTTGGATTAAACTAATTTAGAAAGAAAATTAAAGGGAACAGTCTTATTTAAAAACTGAAGTAGCTTTCTTCCTTTGCCATACATCTTATGTTGAGATTTTGAGGCCTTTTTAGAAACTATCCAGGTATTGCTGTAAATATATCTGCTTTTCAAGGAGCTGCTTATTTTTCTGCTGGAAGTTTTTCTGATGTATTCACAACAAAAGCAATGGCCCTTGTAAAAGACATGAGTGTTTTTAAGGGCATCTTATACAACCTCTTTCTCTAATTTTTTTTTTTTTTTTCTGTTTTTTTTTTTCTATTTTCTTCATATGAAGAGGGAATTCTTTGAGCTGTAAATTTTAAGGCATGTCTTCATTTAGTCTGGCCTGGCTTTATCTAAATTCTCTGCTGTGCTATCTAAATTTCACATAGCTTGGATTGAAAATGAGAATAGCAAACTGCAGCCAGCAGAGAGCACCCAAGCAGGACAAAATTCAGCAAGTTACTGAAATTCCATTACTTAGTGTGTCACATGGTGTGCCACTGCAGCTCAGTGCTGCCTGAACAGGCAGACCAACAGCACGCTTACACTGTGCTGGGCCCCCAGGCAGTGAATACACAATGCTGCTGCAGTAGAAGCACGACGCTGATATCACCCTGTGCCAGAGTGCTGATCCAGCATCAGTGACCAGGAGCTCCTCTTATGTCACAGTTTCATGAGAATTTGGTTTGATGGATACCACCACTATCACTGAATGATGTAGTCCTGCTTTCTTCCTTCTCCCTTTCCCTCTTCTGTATTTATTTTTTGAGATAGCATTAATTTGGATTACTTCTCCAATCTGGTTTATCACATAGCAATAACATTGTAATGTCAGCAAGGGGAAATAAGTGACCTAGGACAGCAGGAGGTCAGAGAGTAGTGACCTTTATAGTTTTGTTTAAAATACTCATAAAACTGCAGCATAAGAAACAAAATACAGAAACCTGTTTCTCCTTGTTCTTACAGATGCTCCGCAGTTAGCAGAGACCACAGAAAAAGATCTGGCTGTTTTCATGAGTCGATCAGTCCCTGTAGCTACCAAGGCCAAAGAGTCCCACAATGCTATGCTGAAATATGCTCGCTGGCCATGGTGGAAGAAGCTTGGAGATGAGTTTGAGGAGGATGATGTCATTCCTGATGACATCCTGAATGCAGAACTTGGAAGTCTGTTTATTGGTGGAAGGAAATCCTTATAGCTATTGGTGGAAGCTCATCCATTTACAGGCAGAAGAATCTGTTACTCATTTAGCCAGGCTCATACCGTGCACTGTGCATTACTTGTACGTGTTTTTCAGGAAGAAAAATACTTGAATTCTGAGACAAAGCACTGAAAAAGAACAAGGTTTTATTTTACTTACCTTATTAAGAATCTTTCTGTGCATCAGCAGTAAAATATTGACTGTGCTAAAGGATTTAGCTAAAGGATATCAAAAGGATTTAAATACTGTAGTTGCTAATAAGGATATTTTATAACTGTTACAAAAAGGATTTAAATACTTTAGTTGTAAATACGGATATTTTGTAACTTTTATAACTTTGACTGTATATAACCTTTGCATTTTCACTTATTACTTGCACTCAGATGCATAAAAAATTATTCCCTTGTAAAAGCCTGGGCTGTTGTACTTTGAGGTGAAGGTGGACTCAGAACAAATCAAGACATGAGAACTCAGGCAAGAAGGAAACAGGCTGGGTGTTTCCAGCAGGGTAGAACAGCTAACTCTGGTCAGCACAGGCAAAGCTTGGACTGAGGAATCTCCACTTCTTACTTAGAAACAAGTGAAAAAGCAAGAAGATGAAAAATTTTGTTAGACTGTATGTGTTTTCTTTTAAAAGCATGCAGTTCCTTGCACAGCCAGTGCACTGCACTGTAACATGGTCGCAGTCCAAACTGTTAAATGGGATCAATAGTGTCAGCGTGGCCATCTGCACCACCACCTTCATCTTAAACCACGCAGATATCATTTAATTCAGAAAGGTCTCCAGCACAATCACTGTGACCTGGTCTACGGTGAAAACCTGTAGTCAAGGGCCAAAGGCCACAGCTGATCAATCTGCAGAGAAAGAAAGGAGAACACAGGACTGCAGTAGGTGCCTGCGCTACTAAAGCATTTATTAGGTGAGATCCAGAAAGTCTTAATACTGCAGAGGAAGAAGAAGCACAGTGGTTTCTGCCAATTGTATACGGGCAGCAATATTGCTTCAGTGTGTTTGCTTTCCATCTTCTCTAGAAGGTTTTAATTTTAGTGATGAAGGGAAAACAAATAAATAGAAATAGTAGGCAGAAGTCCAAGGCCGTTCAGACGCAGCTGATACATTAAAATTAATAACTGGGCAGCTGCCAGGAGGAAGAGCTGTGCTCTGGGTTAATTTTTTTAGCAGTCACAGTGATTTGGAAGGCACTGAATTGGCTCTCAGCTCCCTTCTTGGAGAGTTAACTGGTGAAAAAATCCATTATTTTACAGGGCGCTGGCGTGTGACTGTTGAATTACATGTTCTGCACAGCCTTGCTTTTAGTTTTAGGCCATGCTTATAGAAACCAGGTGCCCTACGAACACCAGAGTTGGGGAGCTGGGGATGAAATCTTCCTCAGCAGCTGCCAAATTCTAATGCTGGAAAACGCCCAGCTTCCCCAGCTGAACTGCAGCAAACCACCTGTTTCCTTGCAAATACACTGCCTCTGTCCTCCCTACACGTCATTGTATCCCCTGCTGTATAGCCACTGACCCAAACTATTTTGAGGCAGCAGCCTCTGCTGCTATGTTTATTCCTGATCACCCTCATTATAACAGCTCTTTAACACAGGGTGATGTGTGCAGAGGTGCTTTGCTTAATGTATTTTATGTAAAGAGATGAGGCCCCCTAGCCAGTGTTAAATACCAAGTGAATTATAGAACACCTCACCAAAAAGCCATTTATTGTAATGTTAATGACCTCTGCCACTCACTGCCACTGCAGTGAGTAATGAACTCCCCCTTTGAAATATACAATTTGCTGGATAATGGCGCTTTTTTTTTTCTTTCTTTCTTTTTCTTTTTTTTTTTTTTTTAAGTGGATGGAGAGCTGGGTGAGAGGTGCAGCCTTGCTGGAGGAATTCAAGTTGTGGGATTATTTATTACCACCCCAGAAGTGCAAATTCCCCTGCCCTAATAACTAAGAATACCTCTTTGCATTTTGTTCTTATAACCGGGAAATCTCAATATCTCCATTTTACACACCAAATGAACCAAGGCAGCAAAGCAGTGAGGAAGCATGGCCATGTACAAGCAGCAGACCCAGGGCTGCCGGCTCCTCTGCAGTGCCCTTTCTGCCCGGGGGCTGCCCCTCCCACCACTGCTGGGCTCATAGCTGTCCAGGCTTTTCCTCGTGCACCGACACTGCACATCATTTGCTCCCACTGCGGTCCTAAAGGCATGCCCAGAAAGCAGGGAGCTGAGGTTGTCTGGAAGCATAAATGCAGCACAGGTGGGCTGACCTTCTGGGAGTGGGGCTCAATATGGCTGTCTCTCTTTGGGCATGCCTAGGTAGCCTGATGGCAAAGCCTGGCTTGCAGCAGGGGTGCCTTCCTTGATGCAGGGTGGCACAGGGCAGGGACAGAGGTGGAGCTGGAGCTGTGAAGGCAGCAGTGCTCAATACAGGCTAACCTGGCCTGTGGAGGCGATTTAGCTGAATTGCAGGTTTCTGTTGCTGTGATAAATCGGACCAATTTGTCATGTGGTTTTGTTTCTTCCTTTCCCTCAGTAAAGCTAAACAGGAGCTTTACTGCAACCATCTCGGCAGCACTAAAAAATCTGGAAAACAAATCCTTCTGTTGGTTACGGATAAGGAGCAGCAGCTGTTCTGCCAGAGCTGCCACCTGAACTCACCTCCAGCACAGACACAGGCATGGGCTTCAGGCGATGCCTCTAAGAGCAGGGTACCCCCTGGCCATTCAGATGGCTGCAAAGGACCACTGAGCAGGACAGGGGGTACCGAGTTAAAACAGTAAGAAGGGAATGGCCTCAAGTTGTGCCAGGGGAGGTTGAGGATAAATGTTAGGAAAAGTTTCTTCTCAGAAAGGCGCTGGCGCAGGCTGCGCATGGAGGTGGTGGAGTCATCATCCATGGAGGCGTTCAGTTCATGGAGACATGGCACTGAGAGACGTGGTTGGTGGGGATGGGTTGGACTGGATATCTCAGAGGTCTTTTCCAGGTACTATTTCATCTTCCACCTCTCAGCCTCCTGCTGCTGATTTCCCCAGGAGCAGAACAAATAGCCGCAGGATATCGTTGCCTCGAGCGCAACCAGAAACCAGAGCCTTCTCCAAGCAGGGCTATTTATAAATGAACACGCATAAGAAAGGGAGGCAGCTCTTTGTGCGGGGAGCCATAAAGATCGCTGCAATAGGTCTCCGAGTTCTCCTTATAGCACAGCGACACCGGGTCATCCTCCAGCTGAAAAACTCTCTAACGAGGAGACCGTTTGCTACGTGATCGATATGGAAGCGTGGATCGGCCACGCGGAGCTCCAGGCGCGGCGGTGCCCTCAGCCAGCCGGGCTCCCGGGACGGGGACGTCAGGGGGAAGTTCTTTACAGAGAGAGTGGTGAGGCGCTGGAACAGGCTGCCCAGAGGGGTTGTGGATGCCCCGTCCCTGGACGTGTTCAAGGCCAGACTGGATGGGGCCCTGGGCAGCCTGGTCTAGCATTAGGTGGGAAGGCTGGTGGCCCTGCATGTGGCAGGAGGTTGGAGACTCATGATCCTTGAGGTCCCTTCCAACCCTGGCCATTCTGATTCTGTGACGGGAGGACGCGGGCTGGCAGGAACCGAGGGCGGGGCGCTGCGGCTCTCACAGACCGCTTCTCTCGGACCGCCGCGCCCCCACGCGCTTCTCCCCTCGGCCGCGGCGCCGCCCCTCCCTCTCCCAGGGGCGCGCGGCGGGCGGGGCCGTTGCGCGGCGGCCGTTACCCGACCCCTGCGCCGCACGCGCTGCCGCGCGCCCGCCGTTGCCGTGGCGACGGGCTAAGCCGGGGCCCGGCGCGGCGCTGAGGGGCGGGCGGCGGCGGTGCGGGCCGGGCTCGGCGCTGCCGGGCATGCACAACAAAGGCGAGAGGCGAGGCGCCGCGTGCGGGCTCTGCAGGTGGGTACCGCGGCGCGGGCGGCGGCGGGGCCGCGACAAAGGCGGACGGCCGCTCCCCTCCCTCCCTCCTCGCCCGGGTGCTGCCGCTCGGCGAAGCCCGCTTCTCCCATCTCTGTCTGCGCTGCTCTCCGTTGCGTTCCTCGTCGCTGTGGCGCCGGGAAGAGCTGTGCTCCGGTGCTGGGGCAAGGCCGGGGGTCGGTAATGGCTGCTTTCCTTCACGGCTCTCGGAACGCTCCGTAGGCAGCGATGGAGACTCGGAGCCCTGCTGCAGAGGTTGTGCTGCTTTTCCTGTCCCCTTTTCGCAGGTGGAGGAGCAGATGGGAGACCTAAAAAGATTTAAGCCAAAGATTTAAGTTGCATCCGGAGCCTAAACGAGGATCTCGCAGTTCCTCGGGCTTCTGGCTGAGATACCTTCCTGCACCTCGTGTCGCAAAGTCGTGTCTTATCCTCGCTAGCTGCTCCCACAGCTGCCCTGGGCTCTGCCACGCCGCGGTTTGAGGTGTTTTTGCCGAGGTTTGTGTGTCTCTAGCATGGGCAGAACGGTGTCTGATTGACACGGGTGTGTGGCTGTTGGTTGGAGCGTGCGGGTGTAGAAGCGTGGAATGGGCTCAGTGCTGGTGCTGTGATCAGACAGCAAATAGTGCTGATGAGGGAAATGCAGAACGGCCACGTAGCTGCTGTGGCTTTGTCAGCCTCTCTCATGGAAGGGAGAGGGTCTGTCTCTTTGAAAAGACTAACCTTGCGTTGAAGGGCATACTTCCAATGGCAAAATAAGTGATAACTGAGACCTAAAAGGTGCCAGCCTGCTTTTGAGGACCTGTCCACTTGGTTTTGTGTCCCATACAGAAGATGGGCAGTGTTTGAGATTGCGTCCTACCCAGCATTTGCAGAGCTCTGGGCAGATGGAGTCTTATGAGATGTTTTGGAAACCCTTATTTCTCAATATTTAACTTTCTAAAAGATCAAATTCTACTCTCACAACAAACACCCTTGAGAAACAAGAGGCCAAGCACTGCAGTGCTGCAGTACCAAGGGGCATTGCTTCCCACTGGCAGACACAATGCGGTGTCACAGTTTGTTTCCTTCTGGTGTTTTGGAGGAACAGTTCTTGCAGAGAAGAGGGAGCGAGCATAGCTTCAGGCCTCCATTGCTGGGCATCGGCCAATTACTGTCATATCAGATTAGCTCTGTGGCACATTAGCACTCACTTATGTTAATACAAATGTAGCATGACTGTTCCATACTATTGATGGAACTATTGTATTTACAGCCCTATAATATGACTAATTGGAAGGGAAGTTCTGATTACAAAACCACGGACTTCCAAGGTGATTCCTTCTGCTGCTTCCATAAGGGCTAGTTTTGAACCATGAAGAATGAGTTGCTGGAAGGTATAATCCATTTTTTATTTAGCATTGATGCAGTTACTGTTTTGGTAAACTCTGGGCCAAAAAAAAATATATATCTATATATATCTATATCTTCTGTATCACAAAAGAAGAAAGGAAGAACTTGTTTTCTTTCTACCTTGCCACAGTCTGGGCTCAGTAACCTGTGCTGCAGTAGGTATGTCCTTGCCTCTGATAAGTGGAATCTGTCCCTTGAGACCAGCATTAGGTTTTCCCCAGCTGCCACTGCAGTGCGTGAGCATGTTCTGTTTGTCCAGAGCAGCTTGGCAGCAGCACTCATGGGTGTTTGTGAGATGAGAAGGCTTAGCATGTGGTTCTTCAGCAGGGCTGTAAAGCTGTCTGCAGCTTAGTGGCTGTCCTGCTCACCTGTCACATGATGGCACGCGAAGGATGCACCCATTTGTCTCTGGGAATAAACTAGGCTCCTCTGGCCAGAGTTTGTGAGTTTCACAGTCCCTGCTTCATAATGAACTCAGCTTCCATCTGCTTGGCAGCTCACAGCAGCCCTAACAGCTGGTTCCTGGCAGCCATTAGCACCTTGCAGCACAGGAACATCTTTTGCTTTGAGTCTTGGGAGAATGGAGAAGGCTGGCAACATCAGTGATCCTAGGAGAAATAATGAGGGGGCACAAAACAGATGCGTGGATGCAGAGAAGGAAGGTGGACTGAGAAGGTATGTGACAAGGAGGGGGCATGGAGTGACAGGTGGGAGGCACTGTGGGGCTCGCTGGAGGAGGAAGGAGGCAGGGAGCTTGGCAGCTTTTGGGAACAGAGGAAAGGATTCTCCTCTGCTGCCAGCTTTCAGAGCCATTCAGCCAGTCCTGAGCCACTGCAGCATGCTGCAGCACTGGGTGTTTTCAAACCTTCTTTACAGCGACAAAAGGTGAGCAGCTCTGAGAACTGTCCCGGAGAGCTGGGATCAGTTTCCTTGTCCACAGAGTCCTCTGTTCTCAGGGAGGACCCTGGGAAAAGCTGTGTTCCCACAGCAGACACCAGCATTGGTTATGTGAGGTGCTGCAATGTGCTACTCAAGGACAGCAAGGACAGTGGAAAGCCTACGATTTCAGGAATTAGCTATGGAAAGCTGGGACCCTCGGGATGAGGTAATGAGAATAGCTGGAGAATTAAGCAATTCCCATATTCATAAGATGACAGAGTGCAGTTCCTTGCCAACACTGTATTAAATATGCTGAGGGGAAGAGTAGTTCTCTGGTTTTGCTAACAACTGCTTCAAGGTGAAGGACAAGGGGAAAAGGGGAAAAACAAAAAACAAAAAAAACCTCAACCATCTTAAGTTATCTGTTAAGCCATGGAGCAACTTGGGGACTCCTGTGGACATTCTTAGAATCCCCTCATCTTCTAGAAATAACCTAATTGGGAATTAAGTAGTGCCTGGAAAGACTTCTTTCCAGGAAAGAACTAAAGATGCTTTTGAAATTTGTCTCTATCCCCTCTCCTACACAGGAAGCCAAAAAGCAGCAGTGTGTTCTTATGAATTGATCGTGACTTTGTGTTTTGCAAGTGCTGTTGGCTAGAGAGAGTGTTATGCCCTTGCCTCTGCTGCTGTTGAAATGCTTAAAGATACATGTAAGCAAAAATATTTTTTCCTTTGGGATATGAAGCTTCAGCAGATGCCAGTGGCAGTTTACACTCTTGCTTTTTTGTTAGTGCCTGCAGGAGCAGCCAGGCACCATGCTGGTTGTAGGTGCAGTGCTAGAGCTGTTCCAGTCGGGTGCCGTGCATCCTGGCAGCTGAGATCAGTGGTGGCAGCATCCTGTCAGAGCTCATTTGTTTGTGATGGAGCAGTCTGACTGTTTCTGGAGGCATGGCGGGGAAGGCACTCATTGACTGAAAGGTGACAGTAGCTTTCACCACAAGTGTATGATTCACAAGGCTGTCAGAGCACTGCTGGAGTCATGGGAGCTTGTTCCCACAGGAAGAAGGGAGTAAAGGACCATCAGATGTGAGGATGGTAGCTCTGTTTAGACCATGCACAGAAGTGATACGTGTTAGGTAGGCAGAGCTGCTGTGACAGATTTATCTGCTGACTTTGTAGCCTTGCCTCGAGGACAACTTGCCTACCATTCTCTAATTGAGTCCTTGCTCATCTTGAGGCAATTGCTTAGTAAACCCACCTTGCACAGAGATCAAGAGAGAAAGCAGCAATTTGAAGTGTGACATGGGCAGACTAGTAGTAATGGCAGCTGATGCTGAATTGAAGCAGAGTCCTCTGGACTAGCAGGGAATCAGTGCCTGGTGAAGCTGATCAGCAGTGGTTTCAGTTCTCCCATCCTGCAGTCAGGAGCACAGAGCCTTCCATAGGCAGCATTTGTTAGGTGCCTGGAGCAACACCAAGCTTTCCCTTTCCAACATCATTCTCAGCTCAGAACACAAGATGCAGAGGAGGTGGCTTTGGAGCAAGTATGCAATAAGAAGCGGTGCTGAGTGGAGAGTCTGCCAAGAGATTTCTTGATCTTGGTGTTTCTCTACCCTAAATACACATGGATGGACAACTGAAGTGCTCAATTCCCTTCTGAGTAAGGTAGAGAGAAGATTCTTTAGACAGGACTAGGGCATCTCTATCCTTGGGCATACCAGGTCAGAGAACCTAAGCTAAATTCAAACCAGTTTTCTGACAGCACTGCATGCTGCTGGAGACAGGAGATTTCACATTACCTAGAGTCCCACTTGTAATTAACCAAGTTTTTGTTTTAATCTCTGTTACATATAGTACTGCAGCTGTGCTACGATCATATTCCTCTTTGCTGTAGGAGGCAGCTTCTTGTAAAGGATCAATACAGTTTCACTGCTGTGGTAGTTTAACCTGGAAAAACCTCAGGCCTGAGCTGAATGGAGACCTCTCAATTAAAGAAGATCTTGCAGTGCTCCCTCAGGAGGCCTGGTTTGTGGTACTTAACTGTTTTGCACTCATGTGCCCCATTTTCTACCGCAGCTTTTGCAACAGCTTTGTTCTCTGTGGGCAATCAGGGTTCAGGTTTCTGCAGTGTAAGGTAACTTGTCTGTGAGCCACAGTGTGGCTTCCTACTTGGAGGGTGCAACGTGGTTTTGGAAATCAGTGCCTTATGTTTGGAGAAGCCATACTTGCAGTGGGGAGACCTCACAAGTTAGCACAATTTTGCTGAAAGCTCTGAGAGCATCACTGCGAACAAACAGCAGCCAGAGTCACAGGTGAAAGAAAGAAAAGCAAATCTGTTTGTGGAAGAGGAAGGAGTAAGCCACGGAAGCTTCCCTTGCTGATAAGCAACCCTGAGCTGATAAGCTTTTGAAGATTAGGATGCATAGCTTCTTTGAGTCTTGGGGCTGGGAAGGACTGACATCCCACTCCAGGCTCTCAAACCAGGTGTGCTAATACCACAGTGCTTCCATAGCCAGCTGCATCTTTCAGAGAAGATCTTCTGCCCTTTTTTCCAGGTTCTGTCTTACCTGATTGCCATACAGCGATGTCTCCAAGGGTCACAGACATTACTCCTATACACTACTGTGCTATTTCTGGTCACATGCAAATAGGGGAGGTAACAACCCTGCAACACCTATCCTGGCTGTCAGTGTGTACCTCAGGCTTTTCATTGC